GATAATAATACTGACCAGATTACATCTTTTCCAATGATACCTCACAAGGCATACTTTGTGTAAGATTTTCACAGTTTTGTTTAGTGGTGACCTTGTTAATATAGATGGTCACCTTCCCCTTCAGACAGCATCACAGGACATACCTGGAGATGATTGAAGTAAAGTCTCTGGAACAATATGTTATAGGATTCCAGTTTTCTCTGTGTAACTGGAGTAGCTCCCAGTTCTAGACCAGCTGGAGTGACTGCAGCCTTGTGAGCATGAAATGCCACCATTGGGGATGTGGCCAATAGTTTCTTTTTACCTTCAAAAGCATGCTTCTGAACTTTATCCCAAAGCTGCAGAGTGTGTTTTTATGCATATCATAAAAGGTTTGGCCTTTAGAGGACTGATCTGGTGTGAATTGCTACATTTTTTTATCATTCCTAGGAGCCCATCAGTTCTGATGAATTTCTAGGGGATGGGATTTCAACTATAGTTTTCATTTTTCTAAATCATTTCTCAGAAGAAGTGGAATCTGGACTGTTGTGGCTAGTACTGTGAACCTGTCTTGCTTTTAAAGTGATAGTACTTACTGTATAAAATACTCATTTTCCTTGAGTCTAGCAATTCCTATTTGTTACATAAACCATCTATATATGATTTTTCCAGTCTTAGTAATTTACTGTTGCACAAATATTTGTTTTAAAGCCTGCCTGGAATACTGCATACTTTAGTCAAAGTTGTTTATCATTTGGTGTAAGAGTCTCATTTTCTGGAAAGAAAATGCTGAGTCTGGTTAATGTGAGCAGTATGATTCATGTTACTTCAAATAATTTTGCATGCTAGGTATTTTATTTGTTTGGTGCCTGATGGTTGTTAGAGGCAAATTGCTTCAGCAGAAAAATGTTCACTTTTTTCTTTTTCTTTTTACAGCACTGCTCCCATTTCACAAGCAAATTACAATAAAATATTTGTAGTAACCCATATGTTAATATCTATGCAAAAATGATGCTCTAAGAGGAGTTAGACATTTATTCTATTTTACGTAGTAATTTGTAATTGTATAAAATGAACAAGATGAACTTTTGCTTAACAAGCAAAAATTTAAACCAGTGAAGAATGGGCATTTAAAGCTGGTAAATATCTAAAGCTAGCAGTCTTTATTGTATACTATCTAGTTCATCATACACTTTATTTAATGTTTAATATTTTTCATTAAGACTTTCTTATGGGATACAATAGATTAGGTTTGAATAGTTTGGGTAGTTTTTGAGTACAGTACTAAGGGTTGTCACACTTGGGGCAGTTATCTAATTAAGGTTTTTTATAATCAGTGGTTTCTTACTGATTCTTTCCACTCATCTGTGAGATTGATTTTTTTTTTTAACCATCTTTGATAGTAAAAGAAACACTCAGGAGTCTGCTCCTACTCAATTTTAATGTTAATTATCAAACACCTCAGGGCTTAATAGAGAACCTCTAAGCCACATGTTAAGTCTGGGTGCTGTTAATACTTAACCTTAGTGGGATATTCCTGGTGACAAACACTATTCCTTCTGGTGTTTCCAGGATTGGGACTTGAATTTGCAAAGCTGGTATTAGCAAGTAGTAATTTTTTTAAAATAATAACATCAATCTCATGTTCTTGATAAATCTGAGAGTACAGTGAACACAGAAAGGTTAGGACATATCAGTGAATAATTGTGTGGACGCATGTTACAGGTTCTGGATTCTTTATGAAACAAATGGTTGTCTGAGCTTAAGTTTCAAACCTATGGGTGCAACGTCTCCCACTTCTGTTCCCCCCTGCTCACTTCCCCCCCACTCTTATAATCTTTTGCTCATTCACTTTTTCTTTTCCACTTCCCCTCCTTGTTTGTTTCATACTCCACATTAATTATTGGTTCTTTTTTTACCAATTTCTTTCCCATTCCATTCTACATACTACCTTCTTTGTTTCCACTGTGTGGGAATGAATAAGAAAGTATTTGAGAATTGGGGGATAGAGCAGGGAGAAGCTCCTTCCATGTCTGCCCTGGACAGCATGAGCAAACAGAATAAGGGAGCCATGGAACACCATCTTCCAATACACCCTTCCCCTGCCACCAAGCATTGGCAGGGGTCAGAAAGAGGAAGTTTTAGAAAGCCTTTCCTGGGACTCTCATACCAAAACAAGGATAAGGAGTGAGCCTGGATTGTTTCTATTCAGCCCACATCTACACTAGACCCAGAAGTTTGGGTTATCAGCCTGCAGCCCTGGAAATGGACTGTAAGAAAGCCAGCTCTGGAGCACTTTCCTGCCTCTTTATGTTGTTGCCTGGAAAGGTGTTTTTACAGGGAACCTGAAGAATATCTTTCTCACTGCTGATTATTGCTACCAGAAGTGGCTAGAGTAAAGGTGGAGTACTGTAGTACCTTGTCCCCTTCACGCTCTCCAGTCCCAACCAGCAACATAAGAGGACAGCTTTTCTGCATGACCACAGCCCTGTATGTGTGTGGTGCCATCAAGCAAAGGGACACAGCCATACAAAAGTACAGTTAACTGTGATAGTCTGGTTTGTTGTCTTGAATGGGTTGGTTAATTGAGCTTTTTGTATGGTTAGAGTTTTCTCCTGAGATAAATGTTTTAAAAGATGAGTATCAGAGCCTATGTGAGTTTACGAGGTTAATTAAATCAATCATAGTTTACAAAATTACTGGGTTTTTTCTATTACGTTTTAATTTGTTATCAAAAGACTTTATTGCCTGCATCGGCATGGGGAGGAGGGAGAGGAAATATCCAAAATAGCCCTGAACTTTTGCTTTATTGAGAACTTAACCAGAGTTGCAGTGAACCATCAGATGCTGGTTTCTTGAAACCCTAAACTAAGCTGCTGCTTTACATTTTTCTTTCTTTACTGTCCCATGTCTTTTTAATGTGTGGAAGAACCTATCTAAAACACACGGAAAATTCATGCTAGTTGCCACTTACATGGTATGATGGACCCAGCCGGGTCTGGACACTGCTGAGGGCATCGGCTCAGGGTGAGTTGCTCAAAACCACTGGAGGCCTTTCCCAAATAAGCCACAAGCCAGTTGCACAGAGCACTTCAGCTAGGAAACCTCACGAGCAAAACCCCTCATTCACTCCAGCTTATCCTGTGCCACAATCAGCCTCAGACCTTACGCACAGGTGAGAGGTTATAATCTCACCTACTCCGAACAGATTCTCCCGGTACCAAAGAACCAGCCACAGTCCTAGCCAATTTACACTTTAGAACTTACCCACAAGAGCATGCTGGGCCAGTCCTTTAGATTTTAGATTCTAAAGGTTTATTAATAAAAGAAAAAAATGGTTGAGAGTAAGATTAAGGAGAATACATTACATACATCAATCACCAAGTTCTTGATGCTGGCTCTTAGCAGAGATGTTACAAACTGCTAGTTTAGAAATCTCTGGTGCACATTCTGTATCAGGATGGGTCAGCAATCCTTCCCGGCTCTCTGATGCTAGCAAGGATGCAACCAGAATCAGGAGCAAGATAGAAGACAAGATGGAGACGCACTCATGGGATTTTTATATTCCTGGTGTCTCCCAAATTGGAGCTGGTCACATGATCTAGTGACTTGTTTGTGTTTCACATGCAAGTAGCCATGAGGCACTAACTGGTTTGCAGACTTCCAGACACATTCCTCAGGTGTGTATTGGCCACTCTGAGAGCCATTGTCCATGAAGCAGTGCTAGTTAGCACATCCATTCACTGAACTATCATTCCTCACAATAGCCAGTCCAGGCCCATTGCTCCCTCCTAGACAGAGAACATTTACAGGACAGGAACAGAGCCCATATTCATAACTTCACATACAAAAATCATACAAGTACATGAGTAGCATACATAGAATCAGCCGAGCATAAGCTTTCATTTGACACCTCACAGGATCCACTTTGTACAGAATTTGGGGCAAACACCACTTGTGGGTGCTACAGTGACCCTATTCACTTTAAAATCCAATAATGTGACACATGGTTTGTTAGTGCTTGTTAGAGAGGTGGGTTATGTGTGATTCTGAATGTTCTGAACTTGGAACTCATGTTACTGTACTATAGAATACCAGTGAAGATACGTGTGTCAGCACCTGCACTTCTTGTTAGTTTATTGTAGCATTTGTTTCAAATATCAGTATACCCTAGTATGCTATTGATTCTTTCCACCAAATGATTAATTATATGCAATGCCTTTAATAAAGGTGGCAACAGTTGCATGAAATTACAGTAACCTGTTGCAAATTATATGGTTTTTGTTTCTGCATTTTACAAATTTGAGTTTTTGTGCATGCACCCCTCCATGCACTCCTTTTTCCTGGCATTTGAATGTGGGCTTCATTTTCTGCCTAGGAATTGGAGGGCTATGGTCTTGAGAATTTCTTTTATTATGATTACTATGCTGCAAGCACTCAGTCCTTGATTTTCCTTCCTTCCCTCCCTCCCCCCATTGTTTCTGTCTGCAATAGCACCTTATCTCCGTTTGGGAGAGTAAGATGTAAGTCCTCTAATGTTGTGGATTGTTTTTATTCTGTTATTAGATTAGTAAGGGTGCACTTTTCATGTAAACACCACAGACCAAATGCTTTAAGTCTTCAGTTCTGAGTTGCAAATACTGAGATAATGATTCTGGGCATCCACTTTTAAATGTTAACTTTCTGCATGCCATCCATTTACTTCACTGCGTTTCTGATCTTATTTTTTTCAACTTGTAGTGCTGACATTAGAAATGTTCATTTTGTTAATAACAAGTTGATAGCTATAACATTGTACAGAAATATCCCTAATCTGTATTGTGGTGTGTTGGTATACTAAATAGTGGTATTTTACCCTATAAAAGAAGTATATGAATAAACCTAGTTTTAATCTGGCAGTTTGCTTTCTGTAGATTGCAGAGAGCTTCAGGTTTTGTTGTACTGGCAAACATTTCAATGTAAAATATCTTGGCAGTTAAAAAATGGGTTTATTTCAAATCTTTTTTTCTTTTGCTTTGTAGGAAAAACATCAGATAGAGGTCCATTTCCACTGTATGGCAGAGACCCAGGAGTACCAGGTTGCCAAGTAAGTGTGGTGATAGTTAAAAAGAAGTTGAATTATCTTCATTAGTTGTAGAGGGTAGCTGTGTTAGTCTTTATCTGCAAAAATGAGGAGCCTGGATTTATTAGGAACTTTCGTTAGTAAAATCCACTTCATCAGATTAATTGGAGTGGAGTTTACAGAGGCATGAGAATGTATATAAGGACAACAAAAGAAAGACGGTACTTGTGTAAATCAGGCTAATCAAGTTAGGGTGCAAGCGGTTCATTCACAGCAGTTGATGTGGAAATGTGGCTATCAAGAGGGGGGAAATTGCCTTTGAGTCGGCAAATTTGTATTGACTACATGATTAGTTTGTATGGGGAGGTGCTCTGCAGAACTGCAGCAGGGGTAGCTCCCAGAACTGAAGAACTGAAGTGTGGGTGGCTCCCAGAGCCAACACGAACTGGGACTGAACAGTCCCAGCTTGCGCCAGCTCTGGGATTGGTGCAGCTCTCCTTTTAAATGTAGTAAGAGCTATCTATTCTTACCTCGTTTAAAAGGCAGAATCACAGTGGGGCAGGTCCAGGCACAAGCTGAGATTGAACAGTCCCGGTTTGTGTCAGGTCTCTGACCAATGAACCTCTGTCTCCTCTGTTCCCCTCATCCCCTGCACTACAAAGATGGTGTTGAGGGGAACTGGCTTTTAAGCTGGCTCCTCCCAGCACCAGCTCATGCTTCTCTCCTCTCCCTCTTGCTTGCTGCCTCTGATATAGAGGCAGGAAGGGCGGTGGATGGGAATGCAAGTAGTTGACTCGACTACCTGATAAGCCTAGGTTTATTGGGTAGCTGATAATCGACTACTCTCTTTACATCCCTGTATTCAATCTTAAGTAGATAGTATTGAATTTGCAAAATTCCAGTTCAGCTGTGTCCCTTTTATAGAAGGATGTCTACTTGTCGTGAATTCACTTAAACATTTCAGGCTAAGAGTTCTTAGCTAAGACAGAAAAAAGGGTGAAAATAGAGGAATATTTTTTAATTTTACTCTTCAAATTTAGAAATAGTTTCGTGTTTATAAATGTAAATGTCTAATGACTTTGGATTGAATTGGGCTTTGTGAGAACTAGTGCTGTCCGATGGCCTCTCAAATCTTTTGTATGTATGTTTGAGGTGAGTTTATCATGTTTGTGAAAGGGCAACAAGTTCCACAGTTATGGAGAGTCAAGTTCTTTATTTAAAAATAACACGAATATATGTGCTATGGATGCTATGTATATATGGCAATTTGCCTCCTCAGTATACATGACCCATTTCCTAGATGGGATCATCCTTGACTGAGCCCATTCAATTCTTGGCCTCCTTTCCAGCTGGTGTGAATGTTCACTGGGATTAGACTAAAGTAATTAACCTTATTTCATATAGGCTGCCATAACCATCAGCTGCCAACAGCTACTGACCTAGACTGGATTTGATTAATAACCTGGAGGACAGAGGCCTGTATCTAAAAACCCCATTCTTTGAGTCTTCTGTTTTGGGTTTTTCCCCCCTGTGCCTTTGTGTATTTTTCTGCCTATGTGCTTTTATTCTGACCTATAATTACTGAGGTTTTCCATCTTGAAACAAGTTTTTCAAAAGTCACTAGCAATTTGTGGGTGCTGCTGTTTGCAGGATCTCCAACTTTAGATTTTAGAAAATGCTGCTGTTCTTGAGTGACTGCTCACGTTGATTCCAACTAGGTGTGTGCACACTGCATGTACAGTCATCAGGTTTTTTCTCTAGCAGCACCCATTGGGTTGGCTGTGGAGCCCTCTGGAGTGGTGCCATTATGGTGCTGTATTTAGACCACTGCTAACCCACTGATTGCTCAGTTCCTTCTTACTACAGTGACAATTGTTGGAGCTTCCTTCTATTGTGCTGAGCCACTATCATTTTAATTATTGGGTCTCTTTGGCCAAATGTAAAGAGCTGTTCCCTGCAGACTTTCACTCTGAGTTCATGGCTCTCAGTGGAGGGAAAGATCACTATCAGAACATCCTTGAAGGCTATGTTAGATTATTCTGCAACCCATGCAATGTCCATGGACATTGTGATGTGCAAGAGTTTGTGGCTGCAAGTATTTGTCCTCTCTACAGAAGTGCAGTATATATGATACAGGGCTTGCCCTTTGACAGTTCTGGGGTTTTTGCTGAGCAAACTGGTGGCTGTAGAAATAGGAGAAGACATACGGGCTCTTCTAGCAATTGGGTAGTGCTCAGATAGTCTCCAGCCCCCAAAAAGACCTTTTGAAAGTGTGCCAAGCAGTGACACACCAGAGTGAATCCTGTATCCTCTTCTTATATTTGGAAATTATTTAGCCCACTTCTACCCTTCCATTCTCCTTCCCATCCCTCAGTGATCCTTCTCATGAGCAACTCCTTATACAGGAGGTGCAACTGCTCCTGAAGTTAGGGAGCAGTAGAGGAGTTCCCTCCAGAGTTTATGGGAAAAGGGGGTTTACTCCCAATATTTCCTAATCTCCGAGGCCAGAGATGGGCTCTGGCATATTTTAGAACTGCACAACCTCAGCCAGTTGAAGAGGTTGAGATTTCCTATGGTCTGTTTCTGTTCAATCATACCCTCACTGGATCTGAGTGATTGGTACACAGCTCTTGATTTGAAGGAGACGTATTTTTTGAAGGAGATGTATTTTTACATTGCCATAATCCCATCACATGGGATGTTTCTTTAGATTCGTAGTGTCCAACCAGTTCTGAAGCAGTAGCCATTATAGTGGCCACTGCTATAGAGGACTAGCTACACTCAACTGGCCAAATAGCCACATGTGGCTAGTGGCTAACATGTTGGATACCACAGCTTTAGATCATGATGGGCAAGAATCACTTCCAGTTTGCAGTCCTCCCTTTCAGCCTATCGGCATCTGCCTGTGTGTTCATGATATGCATAGCTGTAGTGGCAGCCTTCCTACGGAGAAAACATGTACAGATATTCCCCTGTGTGGATGACTGGTGGATCAGGGACAGGTCTCCGGCCTAAGTGAAGGACCAGGCCAGAGTCTTTCTACCATAATCTTGGTTTCTTACTATGAGAGCTGCTGTAAGAGCTCTTATAGCCTTCCCTACAGCAACCTGAAGCTGTTTAAAACTACTTGGTCATATGTTAGCCTATATATACGTAGTACAGCATGCTCTGAGGTGTGTCTGGCCTAGATCTACAGATAGAGTTGAGATTGATTGGACAGAGTGGTCAGTCTCACACCTCAGGTCCTCACTTCCTTCCAGTGGTGGCCTAACCCTAACCCCACCCCCAACAGTCTACGCAGGTGTCTCCTTTTCCAGCCTACAGTAGACATTCACTCTGGTTATGGACACATTGGTGATGGGCTATGCTGCTCACTTAAGTGACCTCAGACTACAAGGCCTTTGGTCGCTGGCAGAAATTCTGCTGTACATCAATGTCAAGGAGCTTCATGCACTACACTATGCCTGAAAGACTTTCCTTACCCAAGTCCATGGCAGGTGTATTTCAGTTCTAACAAACAATGCCACAACAGTGTTTTATATAAAACAAAGAAGATGGTGTTCCTTCCTGTTTCTCTCCTTTGTCACAAAGACTTCAAACTATGAGACTTATTCTGGACTACTTACTTCATCAAAATCAGTGGTTCCCAAACTGTTTAGCATCATGCCCCCTTTTTGGTTTTTGAGAAACCCTAACCCCCGCCCCCCCTCAAAAAATAGCAGCAAAACTTGTTGAGAAGAGGGGAAAAAAAGGAACAGATCAGGGCCGAAAAACAGTCGCGGCTCTTTTAATTCTCGGGACCAGTGTAAAAAAAAAAAGTGCCAGTACTCCAGAGGAAAAGTTGTTGACCTCCCCCCCCCCCCAAAAGGTTGCACTTTTAAGAGCAAAGCAGGCATTGCCCTTTTAAGGTGGCCATTTTTAAGTCTGACTGGGATGCTCCATCCTCCCCCTCCCCCACTCCAGCCAGCCTGAGCTGCATGTGTTCCAGCGGATGCCCAAGTCTGGGATTTCACATGTCTGGTATTTTCTGAATTTTTTTTACTGGATGGACTGGGCTCTTTCTTTGCGGGAGGGGGAGATTGATGGGGAAGGGACTGGGTGGCCTCGTGCCTCCCCTGGAATTTCTTCCACCTCGCCAGGGGTGCATGCCCCCTGGTTTGTGAACATATAATCTAAATCAACAGAGCCTAGCAGAGGTAGTTATTTTAGCATTTCACCTCAACTCGGCAGGCTCTTCCTTGTTTGCTAACCTAGTGGGTAGACTGCTTCTTAACAGGTCTGGACAGATGGTATTCTCATGTGAGACAGATTATTTTCCCCCATGGGTCTTTTTCTCGTGCTGTCTAAGTTAAGGGGGCTCCTTTTGAGCTGTTAGCAATCTGCTCCCTCCGCTATCTTTCTTGGAAGGTACTTTTCCTGGTGGTGTTCACATGGGCCAGAAGGATATCAGAGCTTAATGCCGTGACATCAGAGCCACCTTACATTGCCTTTTACAAGGACAAGGTGCAGGTTTGACCACACCCAGCCATCCTTCCTAAGATAGTTTCCTCATTTTATTGCCAATCAGGAAATTTTTCTGCCGGTCTTTTATCCAAAGCTGCATGCAACCAACAAAGAATAGTCACTCCACTCCCTGGACATTAAGATGTGCTCTTGCTTTCTATATAGAACCCACTAAATGTTTTAGAACATTTACTCAGCTATTCATCGCTGTCACTGACAGAATGAAAGACTTGCCTGTCTCTTCCCAGATTTCCTTTTGTATTAGGACCAGCTATGACCTTGCCAAGGTCCTGACTCCTCCCTCAACTGCACATTCCATATGAGCACAAGCATCATCTACCACATTGCTGGCTCATGTTCCTAACCAGGTGTTGGCTGGGTGGTGACATGGTCTTTGTTTCACAGATTTATATCTCACTATGCCATTACCCCGTAGGCCAGGGATAATGCTACATTTGATACAGTGGTGTTTTGGTCTGAAACTCACTATTCTCTGACCCCTTCACCAGATAACTGGTTGG